CATGTGCATTCCCAAATGTAATGACCATATTTACTTTAAACTCATGCCTTCGAGTGCTATCAATCTTCTGACCACTATGGGTAACAACCCATCCAAACTTGCCCACCTGAGTGCATAAACACTAGGATGAGATAAATTATTAAAAATAAACCCAGATCTTTTTTGAAGTTTAGGAAAGCTTCATTAAGAAACCTTATCCCTCTCTAACTCCGTGTGTTCCCAGGGTGGCTTTACACGATCCACTACTTGAATCTGGCCTTGAAAGCATATAACGGCAGGTGGGAAAATACAGTGGTGTTATTGAGAAAAATTAGTACTATGAACAGAAGGAATTTATATGAAACATCACACCACCCTATACTAGTTTTTCCTGTTCTGTGCTGTTTTTTTCTGTCATCTTGTAAAAGGTACTTCAGACTATAATTCTCTGTGTGAATTTCCCCCAAATAACTGTTATTGGTTGCTGTTATTGTTAGTGTTTCAATTGTATTATACCCATTCCCAGCGAGTGCTTCTGAACTTTAAGATACAGGCGTTACAATAACTTCAATATAAGGGTTTTTTGGTTAAAAAAATTACTATGAATTCCACAAAGTCAGTGTGTCTAGAAAACACTAATAACCATGTTTTCTTGGTTTACGATTTAACATTCCTTTTCCCCTCCTCTGACATCCGCACAAAGAAGTTCATTATGCTGAATCCCCTGCAGCTAGTTTATAGACCTACCAAGTATTCTGCAGTGAAGAAAAACAAGCTTTATGGCTCTGGTGTTTTAACAATCTGAAATTTTCACTGTGAATAAATCTTAATTGGTTGAAACATTTAATGCAAAGGCTTTGATCTCTGAAAGCAGAAGTGCATGTAATAGAAAGGTCCGGAAAGAACAAGGTCTAAAAATGTAACAAAAATGTGTCTTTTAAATTGTCCAGACAAAGTTTTGTTACAAATTTCTGTAGGAGTCAATCCCTAATTGTAACTAAGTGCTAAGAAAACTCAAACTTGCAGAGACCTTTCTTTTCCAGTAACTTAATTTTCTGACTACTAGTCATATAGGTGTTCCCTGTTTATCCCTGTGGCTCCACTAAATTAATGCATAAAGACTAGTTCCATACATAGGGCAGCAAAGGCTCTTCCACGTACACTCTGCCATTAGGGTACATGCCCCCCCCAGCCAAAACACAAAACTAGGGGAGGGCTGTTTTTAAACACTGGCACTGAATTCAGTGGGAAGCAGTCAGCACTTAAAATTTCTGAGGGTAGGAAACACCAAAAAGCTTTTGCTTATGTAAATGTGCTCTACATTACTTCCCCTGTTCTAGGGAATCACTCTGCAGCAAAACCTGATATTGATACTTTTCCCTCTCAAAGTTGCTGTGGTTTGTGAGTCAGAAGCATTGATTTTACAACAACTCCAATACAGAAAACCAGGAAAAACAGTTAAGGCAAGATTGGCTACTCAAGATTAAATTATCCATCTCCCTTGTCACAGTGATGACCCAAGAAAAACTGATTTGATGTGTCAGGGTGCCGCAAAGGCTGGGACTCCCCGGGGAGGGGGCAGGCAGGGGCATGGGGCCGCGTGGCGCCCACGGGGCCAGGACATCTCATCCTCAGCGTAGGGTTCTGGCAAGTGTCCATACCAAGACCCTAATTCACTCACAGGTCCTGAGGTTTCCGATTGCCTGCACCCCCAGCGTTTTTCACTGAACAGGGACTAAGGTATTCTGGCTACTAAAGGGCCATGTAAAACTGGGGCATCTTTGACGCCTAGCCTACTTTTAGTTATTCCGGCTTTGAATTCAACTGGAAAATACGAAAATAATAGCCTTGATAAAAGGGAGATGCTAAGCACCCAAGAAATTCAGCAGCGTCAGCTGTGTTACTGATGTTAAAATTAACTTTTCCTAAGAGGAAAATCCTTTCTTCCCCTCACACCTGTAGAGGCTCTTTATCATATAAACAAAAATTCAGGGAGGCACTCAGGATGGGCTGCAGGAAGCATTTCTGCACCAGATGTGTGCTGAAATACATAAAGGAGGCAGGTATGAGGTACGAGAAATCCAAATGGTCCAAAAAAACAGCTCTTAGCAAAACTGAGCTTATGCTTTAAGTTTATTGATCCCAGTGGCATTTTCTGTTTAGCATTGTTTATAACTTCTCTTTATTTAGGCAGATTGTTTAAGAACTAGGTTTACACATGTGCTTTTTGCTGCCTTGCATTGGTAAAATGACTATAGATATACCTATGTGCACTTTATGTTCTCTCAAGCAAGTCTGGCAGTCTTCTTATGCACAAGGTTAGGCAGGGTTGTTGGGTGAGTCTGGGATTCGTATTTGTCTTAAGTGTGTGTATGAACAGTTTTCAGAGAATTCTACCTATTGATTACGTAATCAGCTTCTCCAGTGTCAAGAGAAACTATCAAGAGTCCATTTGATGAGAAGAGCACAACTCTGTTTTCCAGTGACTTTGCCCAATCTTCATTATGGTTTTAGTCTGTATCAGCACAGACAAAACAATTCCAATTTTCACATGGGCTGGTCAATATAGGTTTAAAAAATTCCCAACAAAGTGATGCTGTGACACTGTTTATACTGCAAAAAAGGCTTTGTGTTTAGAAAGAAAACTCAGTAGTTAACTGTTGTCTTGCTCTTTTTTGAGGCTGAAGTGAAATCATGCTAGGACTATTTAAAAATCTGAAAGGTATATAAAATCAAGTGGCTTAAATTTTGACAATGTATCATCCTTTGAAGTTGATAATTTCATCTTAATTTGGGGAAAGATTGTTCTGTCTTTAACAAAAACCGGTATTATTTTCTGCCAGATAATTCTGCAACTCATTTCAGAGTTATGCTACAGATAAATCAAAATCAAATCCTGAAAAGTATATAACAAAAGTTTTAAAACACTTTTCCTCATCTTCCAAAAAAGCTTCAGAATTACAGGAGGTGTTTCCTGTTGTCAGCCTTGATTACATGACATGCCTCTTCAAGGTGGTCATTTCTATAACCTGCAATTGAAGTGATTTTAAAATGTTTTCCAGCTATTAGAAGTCATTTTGTACATTAGGTCAGAATTTCTCAATCTCAAATTCTATGACAATCACGATAGGAAGGATGAAGAGAGACTTTCAGTAACTGAAGAGTACCTGTTTCTTTTGTGAGTCAGTTATAAAATTATCTTGTACGTGCTGAGTTTATATTGAATTCACTGGAGAAAAAATAAAGGAATTTATGACCAGTTATTTGTCATCAGATGCATTTGTCATAAATGTACCTAAGCCACGTCATAGCAAAGCAGGAAAAAGTAAAGACACTGATTTCATTCAGTGGCACATTTTAGCTCTCAAATACCTGGCTTCACTTTTGATTTTAGCAATCAAAATTGATTTTAATTGTATTCAGGTGCTTTCTCAGATAAAGATGGGACTTTTCAGGAGATGTTAAGTATCATCAAGAGTTGAACCTTGACAGACACTGGACACGGACAGGGAGTAGAGAGTTGGAAGAGATTCCATCGGGCCCCCCCTACAGCCGCAGCAGGCCTTGTCTTATGATACGGTGGAGCCTTCCACCTTTAAACCTCGTTCTCTCCATTCCTCAAAACTTGCTTCATCACGTAAAACGAAGACAGCCTTTCTCCTGCCGCCAGCTGAATACTGATACCGCGAAGGCTGAATTTCAGGCTGAAGCTGGTCACGCGTACACCATTTTATGGGCTGGCTGAGACTGATTAACTGATTCTCAATGCTAGCCCAATGCCCTCAGCTGAATGAACGTCACAGGGTGGAAACAGCCTGTGTGGAGAGGAGGCCGAGGGCACTCCACCGTGTGGGGGCAAGACCCTGTTCCTTATCATTTAGCCTCAATCTCCCTCCTTCCCACCCATGGAGCCCACAGTGCAAGCGGCCAGAATTAAGAGGCACAACCAACTGTGTGATTTAATTATAACTGAAGTTATAAAGAAGGATTGGATTGTATTCCAAGAGCCTATACTAAAGGATGAACGAAATGAAATGTACAAGCCTGATGTTGTATTTGTGGAAGGAGACCAGGCGATGGTTATTGATGTAAAAATTTGACATGAAAGAAACTGTCATCATTGGCGGACGCAGTGGCTGAAAAAAGTAAAGAAATACTGTCATCTTAAAAGTCAAATTCAGGAATTAACGAATGCTAAAAATATTAAATTTAAGGGATTCCCTGTGGGTGCGCGAGGTAAATGGTATTCCAGCAATTACGAAGTGTTATAAGCATTAGGAATCTCCAATTCCTGACCAGAAAAAATTGTGAGATGTATTTCAAGAAAAGCTTTATTTACATCGGTTGATATTGTACATACGTTTGCGAGTCATTCGAGATCTGTTGTAAGAATTTAGTCATCGGTTACTGTTCTGTTCTATATCGTTTTTGCTGTATTACTACTTATTGCTTTTGCTGTATTTACTGTTCTGTTTTTTTTACTGTTCTGTTTTATATCGGTTTTGCTGTATTACTACTTATCGTTTTTGCTGTATTTACTGTTCTGTTTTATATCATCTTTGCTGTATTACTACTTATTGCTTTGCTGTATTATTACTTAATTCTTTAATAAAACTACCCCTGGTGCTCCTGCCCTGTTACCCTGGCACTGGAAAGGTCGGGATAGTAAACTGGAACTCGTAATCATGACGCGTCACACTAATCTAAATTTGGACAAAATATTAATTGGAAATGTCAAAATTTTTACCGATTTGGACCCCCTCACCGGATCTGACACAGGTGGACGGGCCACCTTTACTCAACTCTGAAAAGAAACGTACGCGACTCACGCGTGTTTGTGCAGCACCCTGCCTCGCCCTCCCCCTCACC